CTGTTTATGTGGACCACCTAACGTCACTGCCCTGCGCAACACCTACGAGGATGTTTTTTTCGGAAACCTTGGGGTTGATCAAGGGACTACCAGCCAGCCTCCTGCTGAAGGATGACGCTGTTCCCAAATTCTGTAAAACGAGACCCATTCCATATGCTTTGCGTCACAAAGTGTCGCAAAAACTGGACCGGTTTACGTCGCTAGGTATAATATCACCAGTCAAGCATTCTAATTGGGCGACACCTATTGTGCCCGTTCTGAAGAAAGATGGCTCGGTCAGAATATGTGGAGACTTTAAAGCCACTCTCAATCCTGCTTGTGCCACGGAGCAGTACCCGCTTCCGGTAATTCAAGATATTTTTGCCTCATTGGGAGGAGGTCAGTTGTTCAGTACTCTCAACTTGCGGGATGCATATAATCAGGTGGTTCTGAATGAGGACTCTCGGAAGCTTTGCGTTATTAATACTCATAAAGGCCTGTTCTGTTACAATAGGCTTCCTTTGGGCATTTCATCCGCCCCAGCGATCTTTCAAAGAAAAATTGACACGATACTGTCTGGCCTACCTAGCGTTCAGGCTTACTTGGACGACGTTCTGGTCTCTGAAACAGTGGGCGATCGCGGAGCGAGATTACAAAGTGTGTTGGGATGGTTCCAAGAGCACAGCGTGAAGCTCAGGTACGATAAGTGCAAGTTTAGCTAGCCATCGGTAACTTATCTTTGGCATCGTATTGATCAAGGTGGTTTTCACCCAACTGAGGAGAATCTAGAGGCTATCGTAAATATGCCCAGTCCCGAAAACCTAAACGAGCTACGTTCGTTACTTGGAACGATAACATTTTATTTTAAGTTTTTGCCGAACATGTCAGACACGTTGTTTCCATTGTACCAACTGTTGGGAAAAAAACGCGCGATGGCAGTGGAAGTCGTCTCAGAAATCTGCATTTCGCAAGGCAAAGCTATGTCTTAAAGACGCCGAGGTATTGGTGCATTTTGACCAACTGAGACAACTCAAGTTAAAATGTGATGAATCCGCTCGCGGTATAGGCGCCATTCTTTTTCACACAATTGAAGGCACAAACAGGCCAGTCGGATTCCGGTCAAAAACTCTGACAAAAGCGGAAAGGAATTATTCTCGATTAGGATGAGAAGCGCTGGCACTAGTTTTTGGAGTTACTAAATTTCGGGATTATCACTTAGGTCGAGAATTCGTCCTGGTTACCGATCACCAGCCACTTCTGAAACTGCTGTGACCCGACTGCCAGACGCCTGCCATGGCCGCAGCTCGCATTCAACAGTGGGCCCTGTACTAACTGCCGATGACTCAATCTTAGCTTGTGTAAAACAATACGTGTTGCACAGATGGCCGAAAGGCGCAGGACGGCCTGACCCTTCCTTAGTTTCTTTGCTGATCGTCAGTTGGAGCTATCTCTGGCACACGAACTCGTCTATTGGAGACATCATGTCGTCATACCTGTCACAGCACGGAAGCGTTTATTAAAATTACTGCATGAGACGCACCAAGGCTCTTCGGCAATGAAAACAGTGGCGCGATGATTGTTTTGGTGGCCTGGAATGAACCGTGACAAAGAGTTAACAGCAGCGCAACGTAACAGTTGCATTCGAAATTTGCCTATGCCTCCAGTGGTCCCACCTTTAAACTGGCTGAAAACACAAGAAAGATGGTCGCGGGTGCACGTCGACTTTGCAGGGCCAATGGAAGGCAAAATGGTTTTCGTGGCAGTTGATTCTCACACGAAATGAATAGAAGTGGAGCCACTGAACCTTGCTACTTCGGCAACCACCATTAAAATTGCCTGCGCGACATGTTTAGCCGTTTCGGGGTGCAGAACCCTGGTGTCCGACAATGAAACTCAGTTCACCAGTAACAAGTTTGCCATTTTTGTTGACAGAAACAACATTACACACCTAAGAACCGCCCCTTTTCAGCTGCAGTCAAATGGGGCGGCGGAGAGGACAGTCAGGATGATCAAGGACGGACTGCGCAAGATGAAAGGCGGGACGCTTGAGCATAACCTCACTCGTTTGCTGTTCAATTACAAGAGGACTTCACAGAAAACCGGAAAGTCTCCAGCTGAAATATTGATGGGGTACCAGATTGATTGATATGTGGGGTTTAACGTCCCAAAACCACCATATGATTATGAGAGACGCCAAAGTGGAGGGCTCCAGAAATTTCTAACGTGCATCCAAATCTGAGCACACGGGCCTACAACATTTCCGCCTCCACCGGAAATGCAGCTGCCGCAGCCGGGATTCGAATCTGCGACCTGCAGGTCAGCAGCCGAATACCTTAGCCACTAGACCACCGCGGCGGGGCGCTGGGGTACCAGATACGGTCACGACTGGACACCTGCTTTCCTGCGTCGGCAGGGCCCAATGCAAATGCAAACGAGGAAAGTGACAAGTTGTTGCCCCCCGTGAACTGTGATGTGCATGTGCGCAACTATGGGCTTAATGGTAAATGGATACCAGGGAGAGTAACAGCCACATCGGGAGGACGGATGGTCACAATGAGAACTCCGCAAGCAAGCGTTCGGAGGAACATCAATCAAGTTCGATCAAGTGAGCCACGTGCTCGAAGAAAAAATTAGAAGAAAGTGCTCTAGGTTATGACACACACTGACAGAAGGACACACTGCATCTCCCTGCCCCATTGTCATTGCCCTCCATGCATCGCTTTCACCATGCACGAAATGAGTGAAAAAGCACTTGAAGCGTGCAGGGATAAAAAGCCTTGCAACTCCATTTATACTTGATACACCCCAATGAAAAACGCCAAGCCTGTGTGGACTGCGCAGCACAGTCACAGCAAGAGCTAGAAGAGCGGCATTTCAAAGCCTTTTCTAAACACTCTTTCCGTAACTGCTGAAAGCACACTTGCTGGGTACCCACTACGCCATAAATAATTATAATTTTCGTGCAGTAAGCCAGCATTCACTATGCTATCCTTCCTCATTCCTCAGAGAAATGAGGTATCCGCTGCACACTTCCTAGGAACTTTGTGCAGTTTTTTTATGCAGTGGCTGATGACAACGAATAATTATGCCTGAAGTGGGTATGTGCCACAGTTAATAGGTAAATCAAGAACAAGTTTTCTAATAGGTCAGAGTATTACTCGATTCACTCGTTATGCAATTCGCATTGTGTGTCACCTGGTTGTTCTCCTTTGATGTTCTAAGATGCTTTATTGCTCATATTAACGAGGTTCCTTTCTGGACATCGAGACTGCGTAAAGGCAGTTTAGAAACTATTTCGAAGCACCAGCGAGGTTAAGTGGTAGAATACTGGGCTGGCACGCAGCGGACCCGGGTTCAAATCCTATCGTGTACTTGTAGTTTCTTTATATTTAGAGTTTTTATTGCGATAGCAGTTTTGAATCACGAGTGCGAGACGTTAGCCACTGAGCCACGAAGGAGCACCTCTTTTAATGTTCAAACAGCAAGCTATTTATATTTACTACTTACCACTAATGATAAGCGTCTTGGGGGAACTATTGTGTTTTTAGCATTACCAGCGAGATGGCGTAATGAGTGCAATGGTGCGCTTTTATCTCCCACGCGTACTTTGACCTGCGGAGAGGAGACACTCGCGCGTGCAATCGCTTATCTCATGGTGGGGACATTCATATGCCTTGGGCTTTCACCGGAACCATTTTGTTGTAGTTACCGGGCACACAAAGGTCACTTTGCGAAATGCGCGTGCGTTTCAGAAACAGCGAAGTAAAAACTGAGATGCTTGTTCGCGTGCACAGTGAAGTAAAAATTGAGACGCTTATTCGCCTGCATGTGTACCTGCGAGTACATTTCATGCGTCATTTGTGCGCGAGAAACATGGGGCACGTTTCGATCACTTGTCATTCTTCACGTGACGTTCCAATTTGTTGTTATTGCATTCATTGCTACGCCTTTCCGGCTTAAGCTGCGACCTTTTCTTTCTATTTCTTACGATACTGGTTACAGACACCTGCGGCGGAAGCAGCAGACAACTACGGCGCCGCGCGTAAGGAGTGTTTTGATCTCATAACAGCTATCGTTATAAAATTTTTGCGGCAGTCGACTTGCAATCCAGTAAGCACTTTCATTCAACCCATTAGACGATTACTTCGAAAGGTGTTGCCGGGTGTCTTTATGCACCTTTGCTATTTCAGGTTACCCCAATTCTAGGTGTACCAGAAGAAAGCACACATCATGCCACTCGCTAGCTCATCCAGCCTTGTACCCAAAGCAGATTCAGTACAAAATGAAACAACGCAGGGAACACAAAAACTGCTTATACACTCTGTTATGCTGTCGGTGCAACCACCCAACCAGGGTAGAGGAGACACTGGCTGCGCTGCTCATAAAGCCACAACAGCACCTGTGGCTCACATGTTTGTATGATTTGCATCGGCATGGCAACGCATTTACAAAAGCTATAATTTGTGCATCATACATTATGCATTTGGCCAGGGAATATGGCAAGCTCACATCACACCGAAATTTGCACCAGCCACAACTGTACAACATGGTTTTTACTGTAAAATAGGGAAACTGTCAGACCTTACTCAATACATGGAAATATTAGGCTTGTTGCAACTCATAGCACAGCAGAACGTCGTTTAAAGTTGGTGAAAAAAAAAAGATAACATGGCGATAAATGTACTATCAAGAGAAACTGTACAATCTGAATTCACTAAAAATTTGCACAGTTTAACTTAATAGCAATATCGTCAACATGAGCACCAGAAGATTGTACGGAGCGGGAACATATCGATGTGGCTCCAGTGTACTAAAATAGTTATGCATTGAAACAACAGGTTTCTCACAGGAGACCTTTCAAATATTTTTCAACATGAACACTAAGTTAATATAAAGTTACTGAAATAAGACCTCATGGGAATAATAAAGCATTCAAATTGTGCAATATATTACAATAAATGGGGTACCAACCCAGCCGAGAGGCACTTCTCCGCAACATAACATGACCAGAAAGTTCTCACCTGAGTTCTACGGGCACTGCTGCTCCTCCCCCTGCGACACCATTGGGGTGTGAGTGTGTGTCACCTCGCCCTACATTGCTGCCACCAGTGCTACTATTGCAGCTTGGGGGTACAAAGAAGGTATTGAACCAGAACTGGAACATCTTTTCCTGCATGGGCATAAAATTAAAAGGTAATATAAAAGCTGAATGTACTTCAGCTCGAGAACTGGCGCACACTTACTCTAGCCAAATATCCTTTCCAAACTGAACAAAAAAGCAAGAGGGAGAAGATAGTAAGCCATATCACACTGCCCATAAATTTTGCTCTTATCTTTATAGAAGAGATATATGAAAATTTTATTACACAAACACCTATACAATACCATACCTAAGTACAATAAATTATTACTTATAGCTGAACAAATATATCATTTGGTGGTATGCTTTATTTAAATGGTGTATTCCCCTATCAGAGTGAAACTTAATGAATGGGATTAGACAAGATATTCGATATAGTGAAGTTGATATTTATTTTTTGCACATCTTAAAATGCATAAGATAATACCACAAGTTTTGAGTTTGGCTCTGCTTCAGTCAAAGTAGAAACATAAACCATGTTAACAACAACAGGGTATAACAAACTAAATGCCCTTGAAAGCCCCACAAAAAATGCATGCATTTGAAACATCCATTAAATGAACTCAAATTTATTTGTAAATACATATAATGAAATAAAATAATCTCAAACAAACAGAAAAATCCTCACACATTCAAACCGACAGTACTACTTTGGGGGCCATTTGGTACAGAAATTTAAACCTCATCATATCACTCATGTGTACATATCTTCTATAAATATAATGCCTTTACAGCCAATGAGAATGTCGGCTCTGGTTCCCAGGGCAGTATTCTACACCCACGCAGCCCACTTGCACAAGTGCAACGATTAACAAGTAAAAGGACAGCACAAAAAGACTGCTAGGACAATCCACAACAACGTGATGACCCAGCTAAAGTGAAAATAGAAAAGAATCTGTTCAGCCTGTTGTTGCACCCACCCAACAACGTAACATGAATGTAGTGGTCTGCTGTCGACCACAACGCACTGTCGACCACCATGGTGGGATGCTTTCGCATCTCACCATGGTTGTCCATAGGGGGAGATGGTGTGTAATTTTTGGGGAAGTGGGGAGAGGGGAGGGCAGGGTGCCTGGCCAAACAACCCCCTCCTCTCGCCCCCACAATCTCCTCCTCTTGGATCGACCACTGACAGGGGTAGCAGTACTGCTGAAAAGTGAAATGGTCCAATGTCGTGCCAAGAGGTAGACTAGCGAACTTGGCACAGTTGGAGCAAGCTGTACCTGAATGTGCGCAGCTAGGTGCAGTGGTTTGGAATTGTAGCAAAGTGGGCGCAGTTGGTTCACCACCAATATTCATGCATGCAATTGTGTCTGTGTGTATACCGTAAAATTTCTAGCAAGTGCCCCCACCCATTAGAACGCCACCTTCCCCCCAACTTCTCTGGCAATTATATATCCCCGCCATTTCGGGAAAGTGACTCCCCCCCCCCCCCTCTTCCTTACACGGCTCCATGACAACGCGCCGAGGCAATAGTGGCCTGCCACATCCAGTTCACAAAAAAGGTTTCCGTGAATTTTTCTACAAAAATTGTGCTTTTTTTTTTTTTTTGAGGTCCTGCTGACAGCCATGAATCCAATCCAATAAGATTCTGCTTTGCACTGCAGCCTGATTGCTCCGTGCCATTTGTTGCTTTGTGTTTGCGGTGAGAGGTCAGCCATGCCCACAAAGTCCTACACAGTGGCAATGAAAATCGAGGTTAATGGCATCAAGAAAACAAAAACAACGGGCACCAGACGTGTCGACATTTCAAGATCCACCAGAAGTGGATATGGGAATGGGAGACGAATTTTGATAACCTGTTGCAGCTAAACTACAGGAAGGCAAAACTTCGACGGAAGCTCAGTAACGGTGCACCAGCGTTCACTGAATGTGTAGACGATGCACTCTTCAAGTACCTTGAGCATGAAAGAAGTGCAGGATGTGCTGTCAGCAACCGGATTCTTTCAGAAGGCCCAAACTTCGATGACGTGCAACGCTTACTAGTGTTGTACCAGGTGCCAATACATAAGACACAAGCCACCACAAATGCCTTCGAGACACTGACGTGCTTTGCATGCCTGCGGGGTGCACAAGCATCCTGCAGCCTGCCGACGTGCATTGGAATGAGCCATTCAAGTCCACCTTGCTACGTTTGTGGGAGCAGTATATTCGCGAGGAAGCACAAACACCGAAAGCAAACTTGAAGGAGCTGTTCCGACAACATGTGTGAGATTTCGTTGTTGAGGCGTGGGCCGCTGTACCCGAGGAGACAGTGGCACGGTCCTTTAAGGGATGCAGCATTAGTAACGAGCTCAATGGCTTGGAGGACAGCAACCTGCAAAACGGACTGGCCGATGTCGGAGCTGAGGTGCCAGAAGACTTCGGCGGACTTCAAGCGGAATGCTGTGACCCGTTTTTTGCAACTGAGTTTTTCTATGATTTTGAAAGCAATTAAAAGCTACAACAAATCCTGGGCCCAAGTAAAGTTCTCTAATAATATGTTATTCTATGCATGCACAATTTGTTTTTGTTTTTTTTCTGGCGCAAAAAGTTTACCGCCATCTTGAATTTTGGTGCCGTTCCGAGTTGAGCCCCCCTCCCCTTGCTGGATTTTGAATTTGTTTAGGGAGGAGGGGGCGCTTGCTCGGAATTTCACAGTATATATGCAAGCAAAATTGTGAAAAATAGGGGAGGTTTGGAACGGTATCATCTGCCTTCGGCTACGCCCCTGCCCCATTTATACAGTGCAGCTTTGAGATTTCTTCACAAAATTTAATAAACCTCTCTACCAGGAGCACTTGTTGACAATCCTGACCATAGAATAGCTTTAAAATAAGCACTCTGCATGACCTCTTTAGGTAGATTAGAATGAACAGTGCGTAGCCATATTTATAACAAAAAAAAGAACAGCAGTCTGTTCAAGCACACACTGGTACTGTTTACATTAATTATTGCAAACAAACAAGTAAAAGGCTGCCATCATACGAAAAAATTGGCAGATCCCACGTACAGTGGGAATCGATGATATGCGAAGCACGAATGAAGACATGTCATTTTAAAATCAGCACAACGTTACGAGGCGGATGTATATTATGTCGTACATGACTTTCACGTCAGCATTATCAAGTTTGGACATGTCACTTGCCTTCGTCTATTCATGTCGCATAATACCAAATTCTGTTTATGTGAAGCTAGTGAAACGGCCGCGAGCACATTATAGGTGTGACATGTAGTCATGTTCTTACATGACACTCATCTCATGATTGTCATGTTTGCACTAGACAAATACCTCTGAATCCATTCACGTGACGTAATACCAATTTTGGTATATGTGAAGCTAGCGAAACGGCCGTGATCGCATCATGAGCATGGCATGTAGCCTTGTTGTTACATCACATGCATCTCATGATTATCATCATGTTAGGACGTGTCATTTACCTATATCATCGTCCATTCGCGTCATGCAATACCAAATTTGGTATATGCAAAGCTAGTGAAACAACCCGGAGCGCTCCATAAGCATGGCATGTAGTCAAGACTTACATGACATTAATATCATGATTACCACGCGTTAGGGTCTGCCACTTGTGTTCACCATGCAGTCATGTCATACCATACCAAGTTTGAACATGTCATGTGAACGAAACAACTGCAAGAACAGCAACACCATGAAATGTAAATCATGACATACATGTCATGACTTTCATGTTAAGTATTCACTATTGCTTGTCATACAGTCATGTTATGCCATAAGAATTTTGGTATCGATACCATTATTGAAGCGACCAGGAGAGCTAAAAGTCGTAGGCGGGCGGGCGGGCGGGCGGATGGATGGATGGATGGATGGATGGATGGATGGATACGCTCAAAGTCACCGAAGTTCGCTAAGAAATGCTTCGCATTTAAAAACCTGTAATTGTGTGAACTATCACCTTGCCAACTTCACAACAGTTAGGGATTACATTTACTTCCATTAATAATACTAATTAGGTAGTAGCTGTTCTTGGAACCTTAATTTACACAGTATGGTGTAATTGACATTGCTTGACAAGAGTGCCTCTCACCCAAGGCAGTTATACCAAATCTTCTGGAGTGGCGGAGGAGCTCCATGGCTGAAGCCAACCCACCGCCACATTGCACAGGGCAGAAAGCATATGGGCGCATTGTAACGTACGTGGCTTTCACATTCTTTTTGCGCTAGTAATGTTGCATGTGGTGCCTCTGATTGAACAAGATGGTTCTGAACACGTGTTCACTTTTCGAGACGACGATGGCTGCGCGAATCGTGTGGTGACACCAGGCACAACTTTTTGATGTGGGCGTGCTTCGCTCGCTCGCTTCTCCTCACATATTTTTGGAACTACGACTGGATTCGCGAGTACATAGATTTCTTTTTTGCACTTGGGTGCACACAGAAACTTCGAATATATTTTGTACATTTCAGGAATCTAAAGACGTCATATTGCGCGGCACATGAGAGTGCACTCCGAGGCGAGAAGGTTAAGCGCCAAAAACAATGACGACTTACGTTCAGTACACATGTCGAAGCAGGCTGCTTTGATGAGACAAGGTAAACAACGAGACGACGAGCTTATAACATCACTACCGTGTTTGCATCGTTCCCATGCACACTTACAAAAGCCAGTACGTGAGTGTGTTTAATACAAGTGAGCGCTTAGTTTTTGAAAGGTAGTTAATGTAGCACCAGCTCTGTATTTTCGAGATTGAGTTTCTTATATTTGCATGAGCACTACGCTCCCAATGCCGAAATTTCTGATGTTGCGATATGCCTCTCTTTATGTAGGAGAAAAAGGAAATGAGCTCCTCTGAAAAGTCAGGGAAATAAACTCTTTTGCCTAAAACACCTCTCATTGATGGAGCTGTCGAAATCCCACCACCCCGAAACTTCACCCACAAAGAAGTGGTACAGGCAAAAACAAACAAACAAAACAAAGACTGAATCAATCATGAACGAGGTACAATTACCAGCTGAAAAAAAAAAAAGGTAAGACATCGTAGCAGTACCAATGGGGCCTTTTAAAATATATATATTGAGGCTTCTCGGAATTACATTGACCAGATAATGGAGCAGAACATATTATCAGTTGAAGGATTAGAAGTTTTCCAAGCATCGTTTTCTCCGGATATCCGAGAGCTTAACAAACGAGTACGTTAAAAGGCAGGCAAATACCTACCCCTCCCCTCCCCCGGCATAATAAAAAGATTTTGCACACACGCTGCATGCACTCTTATTCGCCAAGAGCTTATATTTGTGTGTGAGTGAAACTTATTTTTGTTGCATCTCCCCACTGGTGACTTTTGCTTGCTGTGAGGCAACTGTGTAAACACATAATGCGAATCGATATCTCTGAGTACCTTTCTTTCACAGCGAAAGCTGTTATAACATCAGAACACGCGTCACGCACGGCGCCGTAGTTGTCTGCCCTTCCCGTAACCAGTATCGAACGAAAAAAAGCTCTGTAAATAAAAACACCAATGACACAATGGGATTCCAACCCAGGTCCTCTGCATGCCTGCCCAGTATTCTACCACTGAGCCACACTAGTGCTATGAACTCAGTAAATAAAAACAATAATGACAATAGGATTCGAACCCAGGTCCGCTAAGTGCCAGCCCAGTATCCTACCTCTGAGCAACGCCAATGCTTGGAACTCATTTCTAAACTGGCCTTAAGGAGGCTTGATGCTGGAAAAGGAATCCCGTTAATATGACTAATAAAGAGCATTAGAATATCAAAAACAGCCAGGCGTCCCAAAATGCAAATTACATAACGACTGGGTCGTCCAATGCTTCAACCCATTAGAAAACTTGTCCTTGATCACTTATTAACTGCGGCGCATACCCACTTCACTCATAATTCTTCATCGTCGTCAGCCACCTGCATGAAAAAATTGCACAAAATTTCCAACAAGTGTGTAGCAGATACGCTCTTTCAAAGAATGACGAAGGATAGCATAGTGAATTCTGTCCTACTACACAAAATTTATGATTATTTGTGGCACTGTGGGTACCCAGCAGTGTGCTTGTAGCATCCCAAAGAGTGTTTAAAAAAGGCTCTGAAAGGCAGCTCATCTAGCTTTCACTGTGACTGGCTTGGTGTTTTTTTTTTTGACACGCTCAGAACGCTAAAATTAAAGCAGATGTTAAGGTCCCTCCCACGTTCCCTCGCCTCCTACGAATAATAAAAAGGTGCTTTAGTAGCTATAACAAAACGCACGGCCGCAAGTGCCCAGAGCATTAGGGCGCTACAAGGCAGTCGCCGCCTCCTTCTGCCCTAACCAATATGGCCGCCGCAGCTTCACTTCGATACATGGGCGGGTGCCGCCACTCCAAAAGTTTTAGTATAACGCTCTTGTGCTCACTTTCCTTTTTTAAAGACAATAGTTTTTGGGGTACTTGAACGCAGAAATTTCCGTCTGTCTGTCTTTCTGTCTGTCACACGATTCAGTCACCTGGCCAAAGTTCAAACACTTGCTGAATGCCCAGCCATCTTGGACTGGTGGCTGCGTTCATACTTGTGAACAGTGCCGATGAAAAAGCAAATATGACGCACATATGAGGCGCAACATCAGTACGCAAGTATTAGGTGGTGTGTTCCTTAACTAGAAAATACATATGTACGTAATTCTAAAGACTCTAGTGTTTCTTAAACTGCGCTGAAAAAGCGACGCTATGCACAAGGAATCCCTCTGCCAACGATATGGTGCTGCCACATGGCAGGACAGAAATGGTACGAGAAAAGCATCACAGGTGGTCGCGGATGAGACCAGAACACATGTAGTACGGCTGGCAGACGACTATGGTCCATTGATAACATTTGCAGGGAAGCATGAAGATACGTGACCAATTTTTTCAACAAAAGAAATTATCATTGATTCTTAAGGGCAGTGCAACTATATAAGGCAACGGCCATGTCAAAAGGAGATGCACATAAGCCTGCACTGATGAATGTGCCTCCCACATCGATGCTATAAGCTGCACAGACGATGACATCAAAATCGAAGAGCACGGCCAAGTACAGGAAGGGAACTATTTCTTTAATCAAGGAGGCAATCGGCTGCTGTCCCCTAGGCTGTGCCCCTCCACTACAGACATGCAGCAGACTGCAAAAAAAAAAAAACTTGTGCACAAACATTTAAAATTTTGATAGTCAGTCAGTTATATCCTGCCACACTGTTTCTCTCCAAAACACCAAAAAAAAACGTCTTGGCACGCAAACTCCACGCAAATTATGAGACCTTTGCCAAAATTTAGCACGATGTCACAGGTTTCACCTCTTGGCCCAGTTTCGCGCAGATACTATTACATCACCAGAGACTATATTTTTACTCACAGGAATCTGAAAAATGTCACTGGTGTTGTTTGTGCACCAAGTTCTGGGTGAGGTCATCATGTGGGAAAGAAAAAATTTGAAATTTTAATGACAACATCCCGGGTCGCAATCATTAAGTGATCCAATAATGCTAATTTTAAACAGGAGTAAATTTATACATGGGCCGCATCTAAAAACGTTTCCCCTTCTGAATGAAAAAAATTAAAAGAGGTTTATAGTACTACTTTATATGGCAGTCTGTTGGAGCTACGTTAACCAGAGAACGTACCGATACAAATTAAACGGTTTAAAAGGAACAGTGAACCTACCTTCTTCATCATTTTGGGCTTGTTGTAGACCTCCACTTTGATGTCACCCTTGAGGGCCACTGTACGTGTTAAGTGGAAGCACAGTGACGTGGAGTTGCCTTTACGTCCCTCCAGCATGGGAGACACATACAACTTCTCCATGGTGCTGGCATCACTCTTCCAAACTAGGAAGAATGGCGCTGCAAAACAAGAAACATTGCCATGTCAGAAACATAAGCAGCAAAGGAATAAAGATGTGACTTTTTATCACTAGTCTTGTCAAAGTAAAACTATAGATTGTGTATACAGTAGACTCTGTAAATAAAAATCTGTTAAATTGAACTCCTGCTTAAGAGGAGATGCTACTCAAAGAACGCAAGTTTTTTTTTCCAAAATTACACATTTCGTTTTTACTTCCTTACAGCAGTTTAGTTTCTCCACTTTCGTGACAAAAAAAAAGATCAAGACTGTAATTACACTCAAAGTTGGTTCAAATGACTTTAAAAGAGCAAAAGGTGGCTAATCAAAAAATGAAAAGAGCTCATTGTCCTGAATCCCCTGGAAATGGCCTGTACCTGCCTGCTTTGCATTTCATTTCGCATGAGGAGTTTACCAAAACTACATGCTCAAAATAACATTTATTCCCAAGCTCTCGTGAGGGAAGAACATTTAAAAAGAACATCCTTACCACATAAAGGAATATCTCAAGACGAAATTTTGGGCAACTCCTTATGTTTAGACATAATTTTTTTTGGTACTTCTGATGGCCAGATCGGGAGGAAACTTTTTTCATATTCCTTAACATTTGAAGAGTGCGATTATCTTCTTCAAAATCATTTATTATTTATATAATTATTATAAACTTAAAGTAAGCAATTAGTATAGGCTGAGCATTTTAAGACTTCCCACATTATAAATTTTCGTGCTCATTAAAATGTTTAATACACATTTTATTGTTAGCTATTTGCATTCTATAGTTAATGTGAAGAAATATAGCTATTAATGGCTCATAACCATAAGAGATTATTCACAGAAAAAGCATGTTCAAAAAGCACTATATTTTACACACTGTGTTGGTACAAAACAAAAACTATGCAACCTATTATAAAACTGATTAGACATTTCAAATCGGCATTAAAACCAATGCAAACAGGAAAAGTTTCTTTGCCTTAAGCTACAGATTAACGATTTTTTTTTTTTTTCGAGCAGCATCTCCCTTTAAATCGAACAACTGCCTCAAATATGATTGTTTTCATACGTGACTTCTGCTCTTCTATTCTCCTATCAGTAAACGTAACCCCCTGTAAAGCGGAACAGATTTTCCTGCTCTGTTCAGGTTTTGATTCACGAGAGTACACTGTACTAGTAAAAGGCTTGAAACGTGGCTAGATACAACTGAGACTGACGGACTCTGCACAATCCCAATGAGATAAAAAATATAAGATAAGGATCATAACCTAATCAAAAGCAACAATTAAATCCTTGTGATCACTCTGGCTACTTGCACGAACGATGAAGCTGATCTTGTTAGGTTAGAAGTTAGGGCGTGTTTACTGGCCCTTTTAAAAAGATACTGCACAAAAGCCTGAAAAACGCATGAAAACACTGCAGTTCTACTCAGAAAACGTGACTGTTTCTGAAAACTGGAGTTTATTTCCCATATTTCTGAAGAGAGGGAGAGAAAAGGCTTTTTTTAGTCCAAAGGAAAGATTGTGAGGTGCTTATACATCCAAGTCCTGGCTGGACCCATGTCAGGACAGGGAGGCTGAACCTTTCCGCTAGTTGCAGCGGCTGCGCGGCTGCATGCCAGTGCAAGCCGTGACATCACTTATCTGATGCCCCGTGCATGTGCTTCTGTCCAACTACTTCCCTTTCTCCACCTCTCCTTTATATCCGTCAGTCTCCTCCTTCCACAAGCGCACCGAGACGAGCCCCTTTCTCTGGGGACTTTATCCCACCGCACATAAGGCCCCTAAGGATAGTTGTTCACTGCCGGCGGAGCCGCTCAAGGTCATTGTATATTCCATCTCACGATTATTTTGCAGCACTGCTAAACTTACAAGCAGTGTACAGGCAGTATCCTTCTGCAGCACATAATATAGTTCCTGGTGCAATCGTTTCATTATCGACAAGCTACAAGGGTTTAGACCGTACCTCTTGCATGACGCGTTACAGCAATACGTGTTATGTTGGGATTCTCACGAATGTACAACTACACCTCGCATTTCCTTAAATATCATAGGCAGGTATCCGTAATAGCCACCCCACGACGACGTACAGCAACATGACCACCCCCATACACCTTAGACCACTCGCTTCTACCCAAATTCGTGCTTCGTACTGGTTCTCTGCCCGAAAAGCAAAAGTAAGTGCTAAAATCTGTCATTGCTAAGTCTCGTCTAATGCTGACAGCAAAACATCAGGTACCTTTTTAGCTATTATTTAGACTTTGTTTTGATGCTGCTAGGACTACTATGGCGGCGTCAAGTCGTAAAAGTGGTTTGATGCCAACTGAACAGATGACACCACAACATTAGTGCCGGTGATGAATTGGTGATAAGAAGCACCCTCAATGTCCATATTCATTTTCTATGCAAATAATTTCTGTTCCGCACAAGAATGGTACGTGACAGCTGCTGAAAGTACACTGACTGAACCAGGAGAGCGTTGTCGGTCAAACTCCCAATATTTTCCAAAAGAAGCAGTAATAGTAGTGCTAAATGCTTTTGGTGATGTCAAAAAAGAACCCAGTAAAAGCACCAATATGAAAGCTGCTACATACCGTATTTACTCACATAATGAATGCACCCCGAACTTCAGTCTCCAAAATTTGGATTTTTTTTACTCCTGCGTAATAAACGCACTCTTTTATTCATCAACTCCAGTCCCAATAACAGACACCTTGCGCCTCCTTGCCTGTTGGATGCCGTGGTGGCCACATTTAGATGGAGACGAAATCATAGAAGCCCATGTGCTGTGCCATGTCAGTGTCCATTAAAGAACACCCGATGGTCTTAATTTCCAGACCCCTCCCCTACGGCGCCTCCCATAATCATATAGTGGTCTTGGAACGCTAAACCCCACAAATTATTATTATTATTGTCCATTGGATTTCTCTTTTATTCTTAATACACCGGCCCTCCCTCTGCCACCTCAGCTCGCTCCCTTTCCCCTCCCCTTCGCCCACTGTCGTGCGCCGTATTCTTCTTTCTATCTGTGCGTGCCACGTCCCTTGTCTTTTTGTATTATATGTTTGCCACAGCGGAATTCACAAACATTGCGAGTGTAAGACATCGCAGCTGAAAAGCACACAGCGAGCGAAGGTGACAAAACTGCCTGCACGATCACGCCAAGCAACGGTCGCTTCCTGCAAATATGAAAGTAACTATTTTATTACCACGCCTATTCAAATCGATCACTTGTGACCGGCTCTTTGGATCCTCAATTCTAGCATCTTAAATTTGTTTGTCGTGCGCCCAGCACTTTTTAGCAGTTAGTCCAGCCACTCAACTTTCAGAATCAGTTTGAATTTGGGCGTATGGGCAACATAGTGATTTTTGACAGACCTTTGCGCAAACCAATGTGCGTGTATTGTTAGAAGAGTGCAGTAGGCTGGCGAACTTGACAAAAGTGCGTGCCCCCCGTGCTTATACTGCAGTAACACCGCATCTTTGCAAGCCAAATATCGAATTAATGTGTCAGCTTCACAATTTGATAATGTTTAGCAATAATAATTGCCAGAAATTTCTGCCAGCTATTCAATAGACAGCTGTTGCTAGGAGTCAGAGAAAATTTATTCTACAAATGGTCGGTGGCATGTTTAAAGTGACAAGATGGCTTGTATCGTTATATCAAAAACAAGGTCGCATATGGTGACACTAGTCACTCCTATGGCGTAGTCGTCATGTGTGCATCGGTGCGCACCAGCCCTACAAAACGCATGTTCTGTTTGAAACTGTCTTGCAACCCCACCTGAATTGAGGAAGGACTAGCTTAGAGTTCGATGATGACAGCACCTCAGTTTCAAATTTTATGGAGACGAGGTTTTGCGTCAGCCTGAGACATTCACAGGCGTTCATGAGTTTGTTTTCTTTATGACATAAGTTATCTCTTCCGCCGCAAGAGCATAGCTGCTGACCTTTGCGCACAATCTTATAGCTACTCTGGTTACTTTTATTTATTTATTTATTTATTTTCATACCTCAAGGGCCTCCTAGAAGGAGGCATTACATGAGGGGTGGTACAAGTGACAGACTAGAACAAAAAACGAGGGTAGGGGTGAGGGGGAGGTGTGCTACCAACATAACTATATACAAGCCCGTTACAACAATAAATGAGTGAAAAAGCATAAAAGAAACTACATGGCCGGACACGCTACATGTTTTACATTAGGACCAATCAGAGTCCAAACAGCTTGGATAACCGCGCTTTACAGCAGTACAATGGTGCAAACATACAAGTCAGAATGCAAACAACGGCAATGAGCTAGGTAGCCATGAATTTGGTAAAAACAGAAAACAATATGATGTCAGAAGGCAACGCTCCATTACTTCGCC